TCCTACTTATCCTAGCGGAAAGCTCCCAAATTCGATAACTCGGCGATAATATCGGATTATAGGCTGATATTTAAAACCATGATTCCCATACAGAAAGAAAGATGACACGGCTACTTTTGACTTCAGCGATGATGCCCATCCTCTCCGATGAGAAGGACGTGATGTGTGGAAAGGGTTGGGGGAATCAAAGGGTGACATGTGGGAAAGAGTTGGGGGAAGCGTGTGACGTGGTGTTGGGGGTAGGGCAGGCTTCACTGGCAACATGGGGCATTGCATGCGGGCCTTCAGTGAGAGGGAGGACCGACATTTGTCATTTTAGCCTTCCGTAAACTAATTGTGTGAGATAAGAAAGTTGTTAAAACCCAATGCTCGAGACTGGGAGGTTAGGCTAGTAAATATTAAGATTTAAGGGGTAATTTGGAATAGGACACATTTGGGGGCATACAGGTGAAAAACTTAAATCAATGAAAATTAACAAGAAATAAAGCTATAATATAGAAAGAGTAAACTTTAAAGGAACTGAGGGTCAGTGCTGTCTTCATGAGATTCAAATAAATAACCAAAAGGACTAATAATTGTTATGAAAAATAAATAATTTAAGATTACAAATGTTATAAATGAAAGTATGCGACCTTTGCAGCATAAGTGTGGCCTTTAGGCAATACAAACAACCTAATGGTCATGCAGTCACAGGTTTAGAATGTACATTATATGCTGGAATCTTTAATGAGTTCTAAGACAAGTGGAACAACTTGTTTAAGTGAACTTACTAAATAATTGTTAGTAGGTAGTTAGTGACTTAAGGTTCACTACATGCATATTAGATTTTCCATCTCCAACAAAACTTCTCAATGTTTGCAATCTTTTGAAAAAATTTTCTAGGGCTTTTCTTTATTTCAATCAATTTAACATTTTCAAATAAGTTCTGCCGAACATCTTTTGTACGGGTAAGAACCCAAGAAATGCATAGCTGAGTATGGCACATCTTGAAACAATAAGGGACTTATTGCTTATGTAAAATCTCCAGTCTTCAGATTGTCATTGCATCCTTATGCTCTTCGCATGCAATAATCTGAGGATACTTTGTGCACAAATGAGTAATTGTGTAAAAATGAAGATTATCAACCAGCAGCAACACATAAGGCATTTTAAGTAATGTGAATCCAATCCAATTGAAACTTTAACGCGTTAGTGCCCCAAAAGATGTGTAATTAAATTGGTCCTCCAAAAGAAAGAATTATAAAATAAGGCTCAAGCCCTTTAAGTTATGCCAATAGGTCTACATTACGTCTTTCTATTTTTATCTAACTCAGTTCCGGTTAACTATGCAATAAAATTTCATATCTTAAAAACAAATGCGTAGTTATATGATATCTACAACGAATTTGAAAGGTAAACAAGTACAATATATCCATACATAAAGATCTTGGCTAGAGAATAATGGGCAACAACTGCAATCATAATAGATATCATTAAGAAAAGAAGTATATTAGAGCCATTAACCAGTTTTGAGTCTGAGGAATAAACAAAGAACAAAATTGCCTCATCCTTAATTCTTGGAATGGTATCCTCTCTTATCCAAATGCAAGAGAGGTTTCACTTAGCTTGTTGACCAATGAAAAATTCAAGGGTATTGGCTAACTCTAGAAGATGCATTAATTCTAAAGTAGAAAGATGGAGACAAGCTCTTGAATCTAAAGGTTTTTAGAATTAGTAGAACAAAAACAGAATATATAGTGTATTTTTAATAAAACTAGGAAAGGAAGAGAGCCTATGCTACATATTAATCGCCAAGAAATACATAAAACTAATCATTTTCGCTATTAGGATCAATCATTAGGCATGATGGTGAGATAGAGGATGATGTTGTGCATCGAATCAAATTGGGATGGTTAAAATGGAGGAGTGCTTCGGGAGTCTTACGTGATCGTAAAATACCAATGAAATTAAAGAAAAAATTATATAGGACGGTTATAAGATCAATTATGCTTTATGGGTCGAAGTGTTGGGCAATTAAAAAATAACATGTTAAAAAAATGATAGTAGTAGAAATGAGAATGCAGCAATGGTTTTGTGGATATACATTAAAAGATAGGATAAGAAATGAGTGCATCCATAGTAAATTAGAGGTTGCGCCTCTTAAGGATAAAATAAAAGAGAATAAATTAAGATGGTTTGATCATGTACAACAGAAACCCCTTAGTGCACCGATTAGGAAAAACGATAATATCAGAGTTAATGGGGCTAGAAAATCTAGAGGTAGACCTAGAATAACTTAGTTAGAAGCAATTAAGAAGGATATGATTAAGACTAACTTAACGGAGGAGATGACCCATAACAGAATAGAATGAAAAAATAAGATTCATATAGCCGACCCCAAAGGCTTGGTTGTTGTTATTAGCTAACTCTAGAGAGCCTCCCAAATAAAAAGGAGAAAAGGAAAGGGAAAAAAACCATGTTGCGAAAAAATTATTAGCATCTAAAAAATGTATCATGTCAAATGAAAATATAAACTGGAATAAGGTTCTAAATTTGGCTTACAACATCCAAACATAAGTCACATTCTCATATTTGACCTAGTTGTGCTAAACAACGTCGATCCGGTCCACAATACGAAAAAATTGTGTAATGGACCATGTACTAGTAAAGTTCCAACATAAACTTTTCATGCGAGTGCATAAAGTTAACAGCAGGGTCAAACCAGACATCGATGAGCTCAAACACAAAAAAATCAAAACCATTAAACTAGATTTAAAACTTCCCAAAGAAAACAAAAATTAAATAGCACTTCCTCTTCTAGTGGACAACATTTCTTACAATCCTATCCTAACACTGCTAACACCTTCTTCACTTCGAAGCTCCTATTGAAGCTTCCTCGCCATCGAATTTGATATCTTTTCAATGCCCCATCTACATCTACTATTTAAGCCAAGCCCCAATTTACACCTCTCATTGATGCTTACTCCATGCCGACAATATTTTGAAAGGCTCTGGCCTAGCCTATCAAGGCTCTTGCCTAGGCCTAATTGGTACCTACTCCGCTTAGGTCTTGGAAGGGTCTAGGAGAGCGGAGACAGCTTATGAGGACTGCACCGTTTAGGTCTTGGTCATGATTTTCCCCCATTACTATCTCCATGTGCTTTAACCTCCCCCGAACTCCTCCGGCCGCCTCCATTGACTATGAACACACCCTCAAACGCCTGCAAACTTCAGTAAAACCTTCTATCGCCACTTAAAACGAAAAAAGAGATCTTCTTGGGCCTAGTGCCTAAGCGATAGGTGCCAGTTTGGCACCTAACGACTATGAAGCACGGACACGCATAACATAAAGCTGTGTCGTGTCGTGTCCGTGTTGGACACACGTGTCGAACACACGTATCCTATGTATTTTTTAGGATTTGCCTCGTGTCGGCGTGTAGGATGGCCGTGTCGGATCCGTGTCCGTGCTACATAGCCTAGCGATGCCTAGCACTTTCAATAGCATTAATTGTAATTATAAAATAAAAAAATTGGAAAACACCTCGGCCACGCCTAGGGTCTAAGGCGCTGAGTCCAACATCTAAGCAACCTAGCGCTTATTATAACCTTGCATGTCGGTGATTCCTCTTAAAAGGCTATATGTCAACCAATGTCTAGTCGAAGCTCTCTCGCCACTACCATCGATTTATCTTTTCCTCATCCTCTTTCGAATTTGATCTTTTTTTTATTTTTTTCTGGGTTCAAGTGGTGATATCTCGTCGAAGGCCTTGGATTGGTTCATCACTTCCATCTAGTGCTTAAGTGTTAGCATATCATGTATCCACTATTAGGTCAAGCTGCATTTGCATGCTCCTTCAAAATATTGACAAGCGAAAGAGAGTGTTCCTAAGTAATGCCTTCAATTCTCCAAGTGAAAGTAGGTAAGGAGCATGTACGCTCACGAGAACAAGAAGTCACTCATGTTAACTTAGTCATGGATATTGTTAGTGTATAAAACTATATCCCCTAACCTTCACAATAACTTTGGAATTTTCATGTAGTGGAAGGATCCTTTTGACATGGTACTAAAGCAAATCAGGCTACCAAGCTCAATTCCCATCTGCCATGAACTTAAAATGGATGTAAAAAATGAAATTGTTGTGTCTTGGCTTCCGCCAATAGCAAGGGTGTTCAGCCTACCGAAGTATGTTAAAGTATAAAACTATCTCTCTCCACTGTCACCATAACTCTAGAGTTTTAGTGTTTAGGAAAAGTCCTTTAGAAGGCATATTATATTTTTCTATATTTTGAGGGTTCTGTATATTTAAATATATATTAGAAAAATTTAAACCCACATAATCTGATTAATCGGCACGAAATTAATTAAACTCTATGCACTCGCGAACTGAAAGCGTGAAAGACTCTGCTTCAGAACCTTGACAGAAACTCCTGTCCATCATGGTTAATAGAAAAAAAAAATTACATGATTATAAAGTGATCCTACATACTGCTGAGTTGTACTATAGTTGGAGAGGAAGAGAGAATTATGGCATGACTACTAAAGCCGGCTTAGGTTTGGAGCCTGTCTCTGTCATCTTCCTCAACTTCTACTCCATGTTATATAGTTGCTCAAGAGGCAGATTGCTGGTAGGACATAGATGAAAGGTTCAAGGGCTTAAGATGAAGCAGAAGATTCAGTTTCATATCCCTGACTCCAACTACAAGCACGGTTTTTCCAATAAATGATATGTCTAAGGATGAAAGCAAAAATAGTTGGAGGTTTACATTGCAGTTTGCAGTAGTGAGTGGAGTCGAGAAATGTGTATGGTAAAAGGTTTAGGAAGTGGTCTCTGCTAAGTTATTAATACTCTAATTTGATAACGATGAAAAAATAATCTTGTAAAAATTTCTATTTCAAAAATAAAACATGAAGATAATAATCAATGAGGATTGCAGGTCGTTAAAATAGCACATCAAGTACACGCTAAATTAAAACATTATATACAAAAAGAGGCAAGCCTAATAAGGGGAATAACTGTTACCTTTGGAAGCACTCATCTAGTAGCATTCGCACTTTGTGAGGGACAATATAAAGAGAGCTTACTTCAACCACAGAGGTAAAGCTCTTCGGATTGTACGGATATAATCGCAACCCTTTTGCGATGCTCTCCCACACTTTTGTGAAACTTAGTTCCTTAAGATGTTTCTGAAGTATTCCAATGTAATAGATCCACAAAGTCTCAAGTTGCAAACTCCAAGTTCTTCTTTCTGGAATCAACTATCCTGTGTTAGACAACTGACCTTCAAAAATAATATCATGTTACAATAACATTTACCTTAGAGATAAATAACATTTTGACATCAACTATCCTGTGTTAGACAACTGACCTTCAAAAATAATATTCTGTAACAATAATATTTACCGTAAGACAAAAATAACATTTTGACATAAAAGGCAAGTCTAACTCGTTCACTAAATATTTAAAGACCAGGGGTTAAAGACCAGGGGATCAATAGTATCAGACTGCTGGAGCATTAACATCCATCAGCATGGATATACCATCAAGAACTCTTATACCCAATGTTACTTGGACATGGAACACAGTTCTCAACTCTCAAGTATCCAGATATATAAAGTGTCAATCACAAGCACCTCCCATAATTTTGATAACGGGACATGGGTATATTTTGTAAATATGCATAATAACAAAACAAGTATGTAACAAGTGATCATCAAAAAATATAACTTGAGATGTATCTCTGACGCAATATAGCATCAAACCTTTTGCTTACCAACCTCAAAACTGCAACAGAATTCTGACGTACTCGTAATATTATTCTACAGGAGTGTCACAGAAATGTCATATTTCTGTCATATCCCCATCTATGTCATATTTTTTCACATGGCAATTACTTGTTGCATTTCACTGTGGCATAAATATTAATTTCACCAGACTTAATCTGAGCATTTACACTTGCACACGAAAAAATTTGAAAATGCCACATGACTTTCAACAATTCTCGGCGTCCTTCACTTAACCCCAAAAACTTCGAAATTTTCAATTGAACACCAATAAGCTTTGTTAGAAAACCCTCAAATCTAACTTCGTTTAAGTCTCATGTGAAGGGAAATGACTAAATTACTCCTAATAAAAAATTGATTTTCACACATACACTTAACATTCTAAATTTTGCATATTTGTCCTTTCTCTTCTCTCTCTTTCTCTAACCCAAGCC